TATAAAGAACTGAACAAAAAGAACAGGAGGAAGTTTGAAGTTCAAGCTCTCCATTTGTTGTACTCAATTCTCGACGAGCAAGAAGACAAAGGCTAAAAGTAGTAAAAGACAATACAATGACACGAGAGAGAGAAAGAGAGAGAGAGAGAGAGAGAGAGAGAGAGAGAGAGAGAGAGAGAGAGAGACCATCTGTGTTGGACACACATGCAAAATTCCTTTTGTTGATTCATTATGCTTTTGATTGAGTGTTGATCTTTTTATTTTGGAATGCACCACATTTTAGGAATTATGACAAGTTCTATGACTGAGAGGTTATGTGAACTTTGTTGTGGTTTAATTCAGTTTGTGTTCTAGAAGAAGCAAGGTTTGCATTACAGTGTTATATAAGTACATGTACATGATGAACGTCACAATTTATGGCAGTGGGTGGTTGGCGGGTGCTTTGGTGTGGTCTTTTCTGTGTTTGTTACTCCCTTGTAACACCTCTAATCTTCGGCCCTTATATGACCTTGTTGTGTTGCAAGTGCCGTTTACTAAAAACTAAAATTTATGGCAAGCTGGAAAATCATTTTTCCTGATCTTGCTCTTAAGGAGACTGCCATAAGATGCGATGTCGTCCTCTAATGAATAAAACATAAAGGCTGTAGGCCTACTGTTCATGTGTATTGACTTTTTAAAAATTGAAATAATTTCTTCTGTGCTGCGCATCTAATGGATACATGTTCATTCTCTATTATTGATGCGTTGCTAGAATGATTAAATGCACTGACCTTACAAATTTAAATATTCATGTACATATTACTATGTGTGTGTTTGTGTGCGTGCGCGCGTATATGTGTGTGTGTGTGTGTGTGTGTGTGTGTGTGTGTGTGTGTGTGTGTGTGTGTGTGTGTGCCTGTGTTTGTATGTGTTTACACATTGCAGTTTTGAATTGGGTTAATTTATTTAAAGGTAAAGCAAGAAAAGTTTTCAGATCCTATCAACTTGTTTTAGAAGCATGGTACTTGCATTAAGTTCAAGATAATTGTTTTGGGATGTTTTTGGTTTTTTTAAACCTGTATAAATATTTTTCCCACAGTCAATTTTTAAAAATTATACAGAATATAATCTTAAGCCTCATAATACAGAGCTAACTTTCGGGAACCAGTAAGAATATGTTTTAAACAAAATAAATCCAAGTTTTTTTTCATTTTTGTACAATGCATCAATAAAATTCCTCATGATCCTGACACATTTTATACCTCACATGTATGTTAATGAATGGTCATCACTTTCGTCATCATGGAAGTTTATATTTTACTATCACTCTTTTGTACCTTGAGATCGGCGTCTTTGGTGTAGCAGTTAGGCGTTTTGCAATTACACGCAGATGACATGGATTCGATTCCGTCGTGTAAGTGTAAGGAGAATGTTTATTGAGTATCTCCGTCTTTCTGCTGGGACGTTGTACCATGTCTCTCAGCCTGGCTGGTCCTGACAGATAGGGTCAAAGCTGCCCGCCTCCTCAATTTTCTGAAATTATCTAAAACTCCTGCGTTTATATTTTTAACCTCGAATAAGTTATGACAGAGGGTAATCAGTAATGATCGTGCAAATGACTCTTTGACACTTTGTCTCACAGCAGAAGAAAGCAACAGATGTAGCCCCACAGAGTGTGGAGACACCAGGTGTGCAAACCAGGTCATGTTCCGAAAGGGGGGGAGGGGGGGGGGCTATTCTATCGACGAATGGATGGACTGTAGTCGTTAGACTCAGAGCTTGCAGAAGAAACGAGTTTGATTCCCCTAATAGTGAGGAAGCTATTCCATCGAATACAAATGTATTTCTGTCTGTCTGTCTAAACTGTGTCGACAAGGATGTAAAACATTTGTAGTGCTAAAATGATAGTAATTAATTCCGTTCCCAGATTCTGTCACACGAGAGATGGTGGGGACAGGGCCCCATTTATTGTCGAACAACACCACACATTATTCATTATGTATTTGGTAGTGCTGTGAGCTACTCGATATACTCGCTAGCACTCGATGCAAGGCTCGATAAGTTACAACTGCTCGAGAGCTCAAGCCAAATAGGGTTTATTGGTGTCTTAGTGATAAACGGAAAGAAGCATATTTAGAGGAACCGATCCATACTAAAGAGGATATAAATATTTTGGGGGTTTTTTTTACATATATTGTATTATGCTTCGCAGCGTACAAATTTTCACTTTTCATCTCCCCTTTCCCTAATGTCCCCTTTCTGTCATCGACCAGCTAATCTATTTCTTTTTATACAATATAATTGGGGGTTTTGTGACCAGTCATCCTGTGTTTACTCTTGGAAATACAGTGCACGTTCATTTGTTTATTTTGTATAGATTAAAGAAGTAAAAATCCGTGTATTTCGTTTGTTTTGTCAATACAATTACATATTTTGATTCCCTTTTCAACGTCTTACACTTTGCAAAATACGGTTTTTGTACTAGAGGAAGCTGCAAGTGGTGGTGCAGTATTTATACTAATACTGATAGTACCCTGAGTGTCGCCTGCCATGGTGCACTGAGTACGAACATGGATAGATGTTAAATTAGACACCCCCACTCCCTAATCTTGAAAGTGAAAGCGTCTTTGGCTATTGTGCATGGAGTCATGGCGACCCAAATGTAGCTCCATGAGTGAAGAAACTGGTTGTGCTTACAAAGTCAAGTAAGTTCCGAATGCTGTAGGTAAGTTTACCTTCCGGTAAGTTGGAAACTATCAGTCTGGATAATGAAATCAACGAGACAGGGAATTATACGGGTGCTTTGGTCATTTGGTCTCAGTTTGGAGATGCATGTCTATATTTTGCAGACGAATTGATTTTGCTATCCCACAATCACAATGCAGGACTTAGTAAGGATCTCACAAATCGCAGGCCTGACTGTGCACCCGAGAAAAACAAAAGTTTTGAAAATTAACATAAGTGTAAAGGGCGGACATTAAGATCAATTAGGTGCCCTTACAGGAAGTAACCTCTTTTATATCTATGGGAAGTGTCATAGATTGTACGGGAGAAACAGTCTTTGATGTCAAGTCAAGACCAGGATCTGAAAAGCAAGGGGGAGGAAGGGGGCATTCCAACTGTTGTAGCCTGTCTGAAGACTGAAGGTCAGGAAGCATCAGCACGAGTACGAAGATCAGGATGTTCAATACAATACAAACAAATGTAAAAAGTGTACTGACTTTTAAGGATAGGAAGCATGAAAACCAATAGAGAAGATAATAAACACATTAAAGTCATTCATTAAAGGTTGCCTGAGGAAAATTATGAAAATCCACTGGTCAGGCACCATCCGAAGGAGTAGGTCATACAGTAGGGAGATCAGGGAAAGAAGGTGACGGTGGAATGGGCACACGTTTAGGAAGCCAGTCCTCAATTTGACAAGACAAGGAATCGCCTGGGAGGGAGGAGAAGAGGAATGCCCAGATCCTCCTGGGAGCGATATCTGGAGGCAGATCTTAGGCATATGGGGGCACAGCTGGCTGGATGTGGAGAAGAACGCCCAAAAAAAGAGACGGGTGACGAGTCCGTCTTGGCGTCCTATACCGAATAACGTTCCAGGGTGAAAGAGGCAGATGATGATGAAGATGGGTGTCGGCCTCTGGGATGCAATAGGGTACGAACTTGATATAACCCAAGAGAAACAAGGGTTCGAATTCGAATTGGTTCCAGATTATTTTTCTTGACGACTACTGTCTTGCGGCCTATTGTTCGGACTGAGCACCATGCCATCCACCCTTAGAATGGGCGAAATCCTGTGTTGAAAATAACCTTCAGCTCCCCCCCCCCCAACCCATTCGGAACTTACTTGAGATGACTTAGAACGCACATTCCGGGTCTCCACTCTCTGTTGGGTCACATCTGAATCACCATGACGTCATGCACAAAGTATACTGCCAACTTATTTTAATTAATAAAATAATTAGGGGGGATGCGGGGTGGGGTGGGGTGCAGGGGATGCTTTTTAATGAATTTGTGCTCATTACGAACACAATCGTAACCGGGATGTGATGTAAGGGGGGGGGAAAAGAACAGATTTGCGGACTGTTCTTTGAAGAAACTGAATGCAAACCTGATCACAAACACAATGAGTATCGACAGTAACCTACGCGCGAAAATAGAATGTTAAGAAGGTTTGCATGTGTTATTTCAGTGTGATATGGATCTTATCGTAATGCATTATGTAAATCTAGGCTTTTCATTTATGTTGATGTACAATATATGTAACAGCGAGTATAGTTCCAAGAACAAGCAATAGAGTCTGTGTCAAATTGCAATCAAATAAAAATGGATGGTCGAACATACGCATATTGATTCTTTCACATATTTTATGTTTTGGGCGAAGAGCTGTAAGAACATATTAATAGTGATATTACAAACA